TTGGATGAAATTATGATTCCATGTTTTCATGCTGCTTCTTTTCCTCATTTTTGTAGAATCTGTGATTTGGTAAAGGTAGGCCAATACTGCCTCTTAGTGGAAGGATAGCTCGCTTAAAAGATGTAGTCTTTGGGAACAGCTGCATACTTACACTGCCAGGCAGACTCTACAGGGGGTTACATCAAGAACTTTTACAGATACAGATGTTTAAAATAAAATAAAATAAAATAATAAAGTAAAAGTGACCATTGAGCTTTTGCTTTTTTACCACACTGGGGAAAAGTGCAAGCCAACAGATTGCTGGTACAACTCTAAGAAACATTACTGGTGAAAACAATCTTACATTTGGTTTATGAGACATAATAAGTAATAATCAACATGGACAATCATTCATAAGAAGAAAGCAACAGAAAATTTAAGGCAACATTAACTGAAAGTGGAATAAAAAGTAGTAGAAGGTGTTACATCTCCCAGACATCACGTAATATTTCAGATTTCAGGAGTGCTGGAGCTATGTACTTTCATCTACTGGCTAATTTGATCTGTTCTAGAACAGTAAAAAATATTAACTAAGCTAAATACAAATTTGAATTCTCTAGTAATGATGAGCCACAATTAAGCAGATATATTAATGTTGAAGAATAAATAGAAGACAGTGAGAATTTGCAGCTAGTAAAAGAGCCAGTAATGCATTTTTATTTTCAGATGACACACCTATGAACCATAGCTGCAGTACAAATGAAGATGCTTCAAACAGGCAAAATTCAGAATTCCTGAGTTATATTATCCTTCTGTGAGTAATACCTTGAGCTATTCTTTGAGTAGTTAAAAATGTATAGCAATCATTAGAAGCAGATTTGACAGTGTTCTTCATGAAATAGCTCTAAGTACATGAATGGCTATTTTTCTAATTGTAAAACCTCAATAACAATGCCAAAGATTGCACTGAACAAAGGCATGAAATTATAACTGACAACATATTAATGCATGCACTTAATTATGGAAACATTTTTCTTCTATTCTTACTTGTTTTGCAGCTGTTTTTTGTCTTACAAAATTAACGCTGAAACATTTTTCTTGTAAGTAGACCTCTTATATCATATGGGCTATATCACTCAGTTGAACCCAACCACTGTCTCAGACCATTGCTATTTTTATTTATTTATATCAAATCTTTTTTTCATATAATTGAGTTACTGCTTGGATTAAGTTTCTTATTGCAATTGATTAAAAATAGATTTCCCCATCAATTTGGGTACTACGTGTCTACTCTAACATAAAGAAACATGCTGAAAGTTTGACACTAGTATTCCTTTTATGTAGTATTCCATAGTCACAAAAGAACTTGCAAACAATGAGTAGCCTACTTCAGGTGCAGTATAATATTAAATCAAGATAGAAAATAAGAAAGAATGGCACAAAGGGTGTGAATAGAATAATTTTGAAACGCTACCTTGTTTATGCATGTTTATGGAATTTCTGTACAAGTAAGTAACATCATTGGAGTGCTGAGTAATTTCAGGACATTACTGATAAATGGGCACAAGTTGATTATTCAGGATAAAGCTGATGGTCATTATCCTCAGCTGGTCATTAATTCCCATGAAATGACTGGTATTGAGATAGTAATTACTATTATAATGAAACTGGAGAGAAAAAAAAAAGCATGACATTTTTCTTATGAACCTGCCTCATTTTCTAAAGAATTCATGTTTTTTTCATCACTCAATCAAGTTGCCTGAATCATTTTTAACTCTTTATACAGTTTATTAATCTTGCTACAGTCTTCATGTCACTGACCCCAGCTGAAACTTTGTGTTCAATCACATATTCTGTGAATTCTGGGATCAGAATTCAAGGGGCAACAATGATGGGAAAGAAAAATTATACATCTCCCCCTAGAAGAATGCATTAGTAAGAATATGTCATAAAGCTGTTTATTCTAAATTTTATTGTGAAATATAAAAGCATGTTGATACACAGCAGTAGTAGAAGTTTTTGTTCCAAAGCAGAATTCTTGTAGGTTTGAAACACTAACACTGTCAAATTAAGTTGCTCAGAAATCATGGCAGAACTTGGCCCTAAAAAGAAGAAACAAGCCTTAAAAAATTTACAAATGAAGTCTGTGGTGTCCTGAAGTGTCTTCTGAGGAATCTTGAGCCTTATCATAGAATCACAGAATGATTTGGGGTTGCAAAGGCCTTGCAGATCATCTAGTCCAATCTTCTTGCCACCAGACCAACAGGCCAAGAGCCCCATCCAACCTGGCCTTGAAGCAGGGATGGAGCACCTATGGTGTCTCTGGGCAACCTGTTCCAGTGCCTTCCACTTTCAAAGTGAAAAATTTCTTCATTATTTCTAATCTATGTCTACTCTCTTTCAGTTTAAAATGATTACCACCATTACCACTTGTCCTATTACTACATGCCTTTGTAAAAAGTCAGTCTCCAGCTTTCTTGTAGGTTCCCTTTAAGTACTGAAAAGCCACAACATCTCCCCAGAGACGTTTTAGGATAAATTTTGTCCTCCTGGATGGTTTAAATTCTTTGGAGAATTTGAGGCAAATCCTAATGACACACAAGAGCTTGCCAAATAAATCTTTCAGCACTCAACAGCTATTGAGACTGGATTGCTTGGTTACTTGGCCAGAGTATAAGATGAAAAAAAAAGTGCTGAAAGCTCTTAATGGCATGGAGTGAACCATATTTTAGAAAACATGATAAATCTTCTGGAAAAAGAGATAGATGTTCTTGACAGCCAAAGTCAAAGCATGGTGTGTCAAATTTCTGAAAGAGAGGGAAAAATACTAATTTATTTGGGAGCAGGACATTAAATGAAAGAAGATTGAAATAACAGTGACAGGGGAACTAAATGTTATTATGCATCACAACAGATAATAGAATTTGACAGTATAGTGAAAAATCTAGAGTTTATTGTTGCTGGTGACAGATCAACAATTGAGTTGCAGTGTAGCTATTGTGTATCTGCCAGCCAAAGCCAGAACACACTAGAATAACCCACGTGCAGTGGAGGAGGTCAAAGTCTATGCAACTCCATCTACTCACAGATATTAACAACTGTAAGCAAGAAACAAAACAAAACAAAACGATCAAATTATACAACATACTCCTAAATTTCTAAATAAGTTTCTCTTCATTGATTTCTGTTAATCCAAAATCAGTTTGGGCTTTGCTACAGGTTTTGTGAACAAAGTACATATCAGCACTGTCTGTGGATAGCACATTATCAGTACTGCAGAAGAAGTTGCATGACTTGGGGAAAGACACTGTGAAGAAGGATGCTAAGCATACACCAGACTTCTTCCCCAGCCTGTGCATATGTGTGGAAATATATTTCCTGCTCTTCTTCCCTTGTAGGATAAACATGATGTAAGGAAAAGAATCTACACTACACTGTTAACCTGGGTGGCAATGAAGAATGTTCTCATATGTTTCCTCTAAAACAAAACTTCAAAAAATGCACAAATATGTCTCAAGATTCTAAAGAACAGCTACTCTGTGGGGGAATTGCAACAATGCAAAAAACTAAGCAGTCCTGAATAAATGCTGTCACCAGGAAAAAAAAAACAATGTTAATTACTGCATTGCTGTTAGTCTCATGTGGCACTCCTGTATTACACATGGAAAGTACTAGAATGCTTTTGTGTTAATTGTCCTTTACATTTCCATTAATAGGTATCTTATTTTTACAGAAGTTTGTGTGAATACTGATGCCTATATTCAGTACACACCTGCTTCTGTTACAGTAAATTGCAATAATATGCTTTCTGCCAGCCTGTAACTTAAATGCCTATTCAACACATTTCTACATTTACAGTAAGTCCTGCTGGATCTCAGTGTTAAAAGTGACCTGCTTTTCCATATTTTTTTCATTAATCATATAATATTCAATATTTTTTCTACTGCCCCAAATATTGGAAGCATCTGATTGGCACAAAAATGTTCAATATCTCAGAACACTTGGAAACAAATTCATTACACCTCATGGCTGCAAAAGTGATATGTAAACATGATGCAATTGTACTCTGAGAGTTTAAAGACCAAATTATTGTTTTATTTAGGGAGTTCTGAATCACAATTTTTCAGTACTTACAGCTGGCAGCTGCAAGACATTTGTAAGCTGGAGCTCCGATATAGTGAGTAGGCTATAGAAATACTCAGAGTAACATCTGAAACTTCTTGAGCTGGAGTCTATAAATAGTTTCACATTGAAAAAAATTAGCAGAGGTAACAAACTGAAAAATATCACTGAAGCATCAGGACCTACAGATTCTTCAAACATCTTTGGATTTGGGGTAATTTTTTAATTATTATTATTCAAAACAAACTAACAAAAAGATTAACTAGGGTATTGTGGGCATTAAAATGTTCATTACTGCAAACACAAGGAACAGACGTGGTGGAAGCAGTGAACTTCTTTTCTACTAAAGAATACAGGCTAGCGGGTATGAGAATAAGAAATGCTTAGCTTATGGACAGTATGGACATTTTTCAAATACTCTCTATTCTTGTGTTCCTCAAAGGGTTCTTGCAGCAAAGACTTAATATGCCTTGTTTCAAAGACCTCAGTTTTTTTCCATCCTCTACACTTCTGTGCTAGCAATTACTTCTTCTGCTTTCCATTTTTACTAAGCAGACCAACTTCATCATTTCAACCCCATAATGTTAGAGTATACCCCTACTAAATATACATCTACTAAAATGAAACTTTCCTTCATCTATGGCTTTATATAGGAAAAATTTGATGAGATTGCTGTCAAGCTTGTAGCAGTCTATTGCCTGAGTGAAGAAAACTGATGCAGCTAAAACAGCTTAGATTAATTATACCCATACCAATTCTTCCTGTCTGTGCATCCAAGTATTATTATAGTGATGTATCAGACTAAGCTTCAATTGAAATGTCGATCATTTAAACAGACAGATGATACATTTATGTATAACACATCATAATTAAATGTTTTTTAATTTGAATATTCAAACTCACCTGTTCGAAGAGAAATTGTAATAACCACTTTCCTCTAGAACCTCCTCAATTAAGGTCTACAAGTTAAAAGAAATTCATTTCAATAAATTACCTTAATTACAAGCCATGAAATACATTAGTACATACATACAAAGCTTACCTGTAACTGCTCATATGTCATCCCTTCTGCTATGTCAGAAGTGCCAACAGTACCTTAAAGTAAGAGGCAAGTAATGTTATAGTCCTGAAACTGGGGTTTATGTTATTTTATCAATTTCTTAGCAATTCTTGATAATTTAGAATGACACAGGATGTTTGTTAATTTTGGTTGTCAGCAGTTTATTTCACTGACTGTAATGACTTCTTGCAAAAGCAGGAGGGATCTTATGGCATGATGTGGACATTTGAGTCACAAGATGTTTCCACATTATGAAAGAGACTCAAATTATGGAAAATAGTGATTTCTTTTAAGTATTTAATAGAAAAGAACACAGCAATATAACATTCTTATTCTTTTCCATTTACAGTTTAAAGTGAGAAGGGCACATAGCCAGCAGCAAATTCTGACAAAAGTATTATTTACAGATTAGGGGATTAAAAAATTACCAGTATTGAATGTCTCATCAATTTTTATTGTTGTCTCTGGGAAAAAACCCAAACCTTACATTTTAAGTTAAGTTAGGGGTTCATTTCTTATCCAAATGTCACCCTCGACACCTAGTATTATTCTTAGTTTTTGCATTAAGCCTAGAAATTACCAGTTTCAAGACAAAGGCCAGCAAAACCAAGGTTTCTCACCATTCGTTCTGGAATTATAGTTTTTAACTTTACTGTGACCTCTAGTCCATTCATAGCTATATATTTTTCTGCATTTAGAAGAATGGAAATGGCACAAATGATGAAATGCGGCTGCGCATTTCTCTTAGGTTCCTTCAATACGTTCTTTGCTCTGTTGAGGTGTATGACAGAACATGTCTCTGAACTAGAGATTGTGGTTCCTCAACATAGTTGCTGCCAGTTATAGTAGTTTTGACTAAAAATGGAGTTCATAATTCATCACTGAGTATTTCTAGTCCAAATTATATTTGACTCTATTTTCTAAAATACATGTATACACTTTACACTTATCGGTGTAGTATAATATAGAATCATAGAATTCTTTGAGATGGAAGGGACCCTTAAATGTCATCTAATACAACTCCCCTGCAATGAACAGGGACAACTACAGCTACATCAGGCTGCTCAGAGCCCCATCCAGCCTGACTTTGAATGTCTCCAAGCAATGGGGCATCCACCACCTCTCCGGGCAGCCTGTTCCAGTGTCTTATTATCCTTGCTGTAAAAAACTTCTTCCTTATGTCCAATCTAAATCTCCCTCTTTAAGTTTGAAACCATTTCCTCTTGTCCTGTCACAACAGATCCAGCTAAAGAGTCTGTCCCTTCTTTCTCAGAGCCCCTCTTTAGATACTGAGAGGCCATTATCAGGTCCCCCTGAAGCCTTCTCTTCTCCAGACTGAACAGCCCCAGTTCTCAGCCTGTCCCCTCAGGGGAGGCATTCCACCCCTTAGACTTCTGTACCATATCTTTTATTAGAAAAATACATGCCACTACAGAAATTTTGTTTCTTTACCTTTTCTATCTTCTGGAACTAACATATTGCCAGAAGATGAGAGAAGTACCATATGCCAATCTGCTGTAAAAAAGTTGGTATCAATCAATTCAGGAGAACCTTGGAGCAGCTGGAGGAAGGGAAAAAGAAAGAAAAGATAAAAGCAAAGGACACCTAAAATCTCCATTCTTCCTGAGACTTCTTTAAAACAGTCCAGCCTTCCCTACATAAATCTCTGGTTGGGAGTCTGCCTTTTTCTGTTTCCTACACAATCAGAAGTCAAAGGAGATTTCAACACATTTTAGCTTAATGAAACAGTAGTGAACACAAGTACAAATGTTCTACCTTCTCTCCAAAATCATCCAATGAACACTGCAGACTCCCAAGCTGCACATTGCATAAAGCATTGAGTCGCCTCCAAACTATATTACTGTTATCCAACAAAACTGTAGTGGTGATTATGGTAAAATTCTCAAAATGTGCTTATATGTAAATACTTATTTGCTCTTACTGACTCAAAATACGTGCTACTTCACTCATGCTTATCAATTCCCTATCATTCTTTTTTTTGCTGTTTTCTATTTTGTTTGAGGTAGAATGCCCAGAATTACATTCAGTATTTCTAACACCTTCAATTTACTACCATTCACTTTATAAATACTGCATTTCTTCCATTTTCCTCAATCATAAATACAGTTTTGAAGTTAAAAGCTTTACAGTTGAGATAATTTGTAAAATTGAAAATTAGATTAAATTTTATAATAAACATTTCCTTTACATATCATCTTTTTGGGCACCTTTTCCTGGCAACACTCACTCAGTAACACATTAATAGAAAACATTTTGTTAGATTCAATGTTAAGGTTAAAATACAAGAATCGGTTAACGTAAATGCAGGTTGATTTATAGAACAGCAGATATCCGTGAAACTGATAGCTCAAAGAAGCATCTTTAATTATCTTTCAGATGCACAATGTAAACCAGTGTAAACATTGCATAGCCACTTTCCTTGGAAGTTAAGCATTTCAGATTAACTATTTTAAAAGTAGTGAGCAGACTTAGTAATTGGGGTGAGAGTCAGTCCATCCATAGCAAACAATGACACAGAAGATTGCACAATCCATTGTGGATAGTAGACAACCAGATTAGGTTAGATGGGTTGTATTATGTCTCATATCTGAAAAGTATGTTAAGCAATTGTCCTTGTCACCAAATTGTGTATTCACTAGCAACTGATTTGTCATCAATTCAAAAATGAAATATCTTAGTTTCCATCTCCCCCAAAACACAGAAGCTGAGAATGTGGCTTCTGAAACCTCTACTGACTACTGTCTTCTCCAGAGATATTAAAAGAACATTTAGAAATTCTGATGTTAATCATTAGCTCTTTCCCAGTTGGAAAGTATTCACTATTCTACTGGAAAACATGAAGGCATGGTTCTTCAGTCACACAATTCCTGCAAATCTGTAGCATTTTAAACTAATGATACTACACTCATGCTGAATATACCACACTATACCACAGTAGGACATTCTATATTTTGGACACAATGGATGATTTATGTGCTTTCTCAAAATTCATGTCATGCCAAAATATCAATAATAGTAGCAATCTAATTATAAATGAAGAAGAGCTTACAAAAATTAAAAGCTTACAAAATATGTTTCAGTTTTTGCCATTCTTTCTTCCTTTCCCTTTCTGAATTCTGATGAGATGAATTTTGTTTTGCAGGACCTCTTATTTACAATATGTGTTCTACTGATCAGAGACAAACTTGAAATCAATACGCAGCGACTGCTTACTTAAGAGACCTCCATGTTTTCCCAATAAAGGATATGATAAATTTCCTTTGAAAAAATGCAATATTACACTCATATTCTTATGATATTAATATTGATAGCTTAATTCAAATAGAAGAAGAGACGACAGATAGTAATTCGTGTACTGCACCTTTTTCATTTCTGATTTCAGATTACAAGGATTGCTCTGCTGACTGAAGAGGGACTTCTTAAATCTCTCAATGACTCTCCTTTTCAAGTTGCACTGCAAAGCTGGAGGAAGCTAGACAACACAGAGAAACAGATGTTTTCACCACCCAATTACACTTCCCATAAACTGCTAATCAGCAGTACCATTACTGAGAAAGTAGCTACAGTGCAAGAAGAAACATTAATGCTTAATAGCCTAGTGATAGGCAACAGTACGAAACCTGATTTAAATACATATTAAAATAATTCTCCTTAGTTCATTGATTCTGTTAGGCTTGGCAGATTATATAACTTATTCCTTCTGGACTCAAAGGTAAGAGCCATTATATTAAGTGTAGTATAATTAATGCTAGATATGCTTCCTTGATCTTTGAGATTTCAGAATCATTTTTACACTCCAACCATAATGCTGGAGCTTCAGTAGCTTCAGCTGTTGGTCACTGCAGTCATACTGATAGGCACATCTGTCACCGGTCCATCTGATCACCATTCCTATGCGCTGCTCTTTGGAGAAAATCTCCTATACTGTTTCTCTGTAGTTTATCTTCAGACAGTGTTTGTAAAACAATGATTTTCTGTTATTTAGTATACACTTTATAATCACTATCACTGATGTAAATTCACATAGTGCCACTCCATTGAATTCAGCAAGTTATTTTATTACATAAGAAGGCTTTGGCCCTTGATGATTCACATTCAAAGCGCTGTCACAGTATAAATTACAGACTGTTTTCCTTCTGAAACAAACTACTGTTCTTAGATAGTTATAAATTTGGAACTGATACATTGGCCTCACAGAAGCCACTGCTAATTTCCTCTGGCAAACCACGGACTGAGTTTAAGTTCTAAAACTTCATCAGACAGCTGGCTGCATACAGTTTTCTGCTGCAGATAAATATTAGTCTTTTCAGGCCTATACATGAGGGGAAGAACATGATGCAAAAGAAATGGCTGCAAGATACTCTATAGACTACATACCACTGCAATAAACCATGTGCAGTTAATGTACCATGGCAATGCTGGGACATTCTGAGGCAACAATGATAAAGGACTAGTTCACTGCATGAGAAAATCAGCAATGCTCTAGGCAGTACTGTTCAATTTTAGCTTTTGTTTTAAGGAAATCAGATGTCAGATCAGTTAAAAAAAATTTAAAAGGCTGACGATTTACATTGTGCTTTTTTAAAAGCTTTCTCTTAAATTATTTTCCAACAGATCAGTCTGGCTCTTGTTCCCATGGAAACTGGATTGGGAAGGCTGCTTTGATTGCCAAGAACTAACAGCAAAGAACTCTGCATTGTAAAGTTCAGTTTCAAATTGTCAGCTGAAATATGTAATTGGGAGTTGTAGATACAACTATGTATTATTAAAAATATTCCACCTTATATCTGCAAGAATCTAAGCACTCAAAAAGCCTATTGCACACAGGAACAAGGACAGATTTGGATCCTGGTACCCCTACCTTCTAATTCTGAGACCAACTGACACTGAAAGGTGTTACTACTGCTTCAGTGGCCAATCTAGATAGAGAGCCTTTGAGTTACTGTTAGATCTCAGTTATGAGAACTGGCATTTACTAGTCGGACACTAGAGAAAATCTTCTTCACTACAGAGGGTAAGTTCATTAATATGCATCTGGCACAAACGAGTAATATACGAATACAATAATATACCACATAAAGTCTGAACTGCCTCATTTCAGTTAGCAGGAAATGGGCTTACTATTGCAATAAATTATGCCAAATCCAGTTATTTTAAATTACCATTTTTTCTTTGTTATGATAATGTATTTCCTGTTATCTCTTTCAATAGATCTGACAGTTTGAAGAAAACACTCAAGACTTGTCCAATGCATCTAATTTCAGTTATGCTATTATGTTTTAAACAAGTTTGGCTCAGCAATCTGAAATGCCCTGAGGTGATAAACATCACTTCCAAATACAAACCATTCATTTTACAAAGTAAGAAGATGTTTATTTATGAACAGCATATTTTGCAAATAACTGAATTGCAGTCAATCTTTCTGGTGAACAAAAGTCTATCACATTTTTAGCTGAGAGTTCAACTCAGATTTATACCAACTCCATTTTTGTTTTGGAATCAGCACGAAATAACTTTAACATTCTTTCATTATTAAACATTCAAACAATTTTAAAATAAGTCTGAAACTTGAAAAAATATATATTGACATATTAAAATATTTAAAATTCAATATTTAGGATAGTATTTCTAGTGTAATATTTCTTAAGAAATTATTACCACATATTGATAATAGAAATTATTACTTAGAAAATATTACTATAGAGGAAAGAATTTTATGTACTCTTCATATCAGTGTGCAGTATTGTCACCTGAAATGTTCATATTGCTGACATGACAGAATGTTATAAAAATAAATCACTGTACAATCCATTTTTCTGAGGGGAACCAAAGAATTTTTTCATGACTCAATTATTGCCATCCTCCACACGCTAATATTTGAGGTTAGTCTTTATTTAAATGATGTATTTTTAAAACATCCTGCCATCTGCAAAAATGTCAAGTTCTGTTGTTTTTAACGAACAGCAACTAAATTAGCAGCACTTTGACAACAGCAAATAACTGAAATGGATAGAATGTCAGAAGCAACAGTAATGCATACTTGAGTGATGAAGATAATTTTGTGCAGCTGAATAAGAATCTGCTGAACAGGGTCACTGATCTGACGCACTTTCCTTTGCGATACAGCAATTCCTGCCGATGCTGTAGATGACAACACTAAAATCAGGACAGCTCATTTTACTGCCTTTACATATTAATAGTGAGCACTTTTTAAAACCTGTAGATTTAAATACTGAGTTTTTATGCATGACTTGCTTTCCTAGTAGCATTAGGAACAAGAACAAAAAAGAGTAATCTGAAAACTTAAAAGATTAGATAATGGACTTAATAATGGGTTTCAAAAGGAAATCCCTTCCTCCGATTCATTATACTAAATTTTATGATTCATTATACTAAAATTTACTTTATCTAAGAGAAAAAATATATATATATTAGCGTACCTCACTAATGATAAAAGTTTTTCTATATTTATTCATAAGGAAATCTAAAGATACTATAAACAGAATATATTTTAACAGAATGATCTTTTTCCACAAAATAAAACACTTTTTTTTTAAAGTACTTTGATGTCATGAAATTAATTCTCCTTTTACTACTAAGAATTCCAAGATTATATCTTATACAAACAATTTGGAGAATATTAATATTTATTTTCAAATTGCCTTATAGTGTTGTGTTTTGTTTTATCACAGCTACTTCTTGTTTCCAATACCTAGCAGTAGCTTATTTTGACAGAAAGATGAGGAAAATTTGCAAGAAGCTATGAATTTTCTGTCTCTTCTCTGTATTGCATCAGAAAATCAGCACTTTCTTTTCTTTGTCAGAAATTCCTCCCCATGAAAGATAACCCTACCTAAAAGGGGAAAAGAATATACTGATGGAGATTGCTGGCTTTTTTAAAGTGAATGGTAACAAGAATGAAAATTCCACTGAGAGGGAGAAATACTAAAATTAATTGGTCCACCACTGAACTACTACCATTTCTTCCTGTTGAATTTCTTTCTCCATTGACTCCTCTAAAAAGAGTCAGAAAGGAGACATTCACAGGTTGAAGTTTTTAGGGACTAACCAGATCTGAGTTGAAGCCTGCCAGAAACTAAGAAAATACAGACAATGTAATTCTCCATGAACAGAGACACTTCTGGTATGATCAAGAAGACAAGGACATCATTTCTGTTGTCAGATTTTTTGTTGCAGTGCCTTTTGGCAGATAGGTTGAGAGAGGCATTACAGTTTTGCATTTTTTCTGGTCTCCTCTTAACCACAAAAGAGAGAAAGAGAGCATTTCCCTTAAGCTACTTAAAGAAGAATTTAGCTTCATTTTTCAGCTAGGTAATGGTGAGAGCTATGTTGTAACAGTCTAATACATGACATGCCACAAATAGAACGATTTTTTCTTTAGCTCTGTTCATCTCGTTTTCAGCTATCTGCCAGCTGTTTTACCAATAATAGATTAAGTTCTCACAGCAATAGCATGGTCTTGCCATTACAGTCTTGAAATCTCCTGTTCTTGTTAGGACACTGATAAAAACTTATTTCCTCAACAAGTTACCTTTTTCACTGGTTCCTATTTTGTGGTATTTGACTTCTTTGTTGCTATTGGCTTGTGTTAAAAAAAAAAAAAAAAAAAAGCAAATAAATCAGTCCCCTTTCTTTTTACGTCTCTAAAATGCTTTTTGTTGTTGTTGTTGTTCTAAGAAAAATCTGCTTAATATGAGAATAGAAATGACTGAGCAGAACATAACATGTATTTCTCTGATCTTCAGTGGAGAGAACGTTCCTTTTCTAGTATTCCAGCAACAATTGGACTTAGTGGTCTAAGTAGACCAATTTCTATACTTAAAACACTTATAATGTCTATGTGTTTCAAAGTGAGCTCTGAGGACTAGAGTCCTCAGTTTAGCTAGGAAATTCAGGAGTTTCCATAAAGTCATTTATATTGGGCCACTCTACAGTAGTTGTTTTTAAATAAAGAACAGCATTATTTGGGCAATGAAAAAATGTGCCTGTGAATAGGCTGATCACAACTTAATCAACACTTTCAAGAGCGTAACAATAACAAAACTTAAAGTACATTGGAGAATTCCAAGAAATCAATATATTTATTTGAAATTTCATTTAACAAGAAAGTAGATTTTATTTGGGATATATCTAGATCCAGAAGCAAAGACAACAGGTTAGACCTTATGTAAATTGTGTTGTTTTACTGAAGAAGAAAACATTACTGACAAAAGATATCAAAACTGCTTAAATTACCCACAGGACTTACATCATTAGCAAAGGCTAATGTGTTTGTCTCTAGATCATTACAGCTCTGATGGATTATGGTCGGATAGTTGGTTTGAAATGCGTGTTGTTATTATAACAGCACTCATCAGTAAACAGTACTGAAAAGTGCTAAAAATAGAGGACAAATTTTGATTTGTACTCTGCAATGAAAATTCCTAATGCAACTTCTACGTCAAAAAGCTGTGAAATAGAAGTTAGCACGTGCATGCAGTACTGTTTTCATAAAGATCAATATTCCAGCTACTCAAAATAATTTTATTTCAACTATTATTTAATTCAGAGAATACAGAGTACTACAAAGTCAGAGCTTACCAACTTACAGTATCTGAAGCTTCTCAGTATGAAAGAAAAGTATCATAATTGCAAAATTTGTTTCATCAATGTTGATGGATAAATACATGATAATTTACAAGGGTTCTAATAAATATTCCTTTCATAGAAAAAATTCCAATTGCATTTAGAAGAAGCAGAGCTAGGTTAACAAACATTAAAATGAAGTCACACCAATGTAGTATTGAAATTTACTTTTTAAAATTCTGTAACAATTTTTCGGACAACATATTTTCATCTGGAATGTCTGCTTTTCTATCCTTTTAAAACCCTCATATTAGATAATATTATAATTTTTCTTATTGCAAAGAACTAAGAATGGAAGACTATAGGACAGCCACCTTGTCTCTAATCTTTGTGCACGCCTTGCACATGACTAGAGACAGTTTCAGAAGTAGAAGCACTTTCAGAATGAGATCAAGTGGAAGTGAGTTTGAAGAAATAAAAGAGTAGATATTATCTAGGCAACAGAAAAACAAATTTTAAAAACTTGGGAATTATTAAGCTTAATTTCAGTTACAATTTTATTTTGTTCTAAGTTTAAAATTACCTGGTCGCAGTCTTGATCCCAGGCCTTCAGTACAGTCTCTATTATTAAAATAGAATAACAGAGGGACAAAAACAAAAACAAAAAACAAACAAACAAAAAAAAAAACCAACACAAAACAAAGAAGAACTCAGAACAAAACTGTTATAGTTATGCTGAGCATTAGAGGCTGCAGAGGAAATGTTAGTATTCGCTGGATCTTTCTCATGTTTCCTCTAAACAAAGTCTATCCCATTTCACTAGTTTTTGACTGTTCATTCAGAACTCATATAAAGTTTACTCTACTTGTCCAAAGTAGCTTGACTTATAAAGTATATAAAGTATAGAATATACACATATTATTTTCCTATTATATTAGACATTTATTTTCATATAGAATACACAATAATAAAGTTTCAAGAAGCTATGAAGAAAGATAAGAAGATAGTGTTGCTAATGTTTAAAAAGGGGCAGAGATGGAGAAAAAATAAAAGAAGTTGTTGCTCCAGCACTCAGCCAGTAGAAGGTTGCCATTATTGATTGTAACAGGACAAAAGCTGGAGAGCTAGTGAGTGACAAGTGACAAACTGCATGGTTATGTTCTTAGCAAGAACATCTTTGAAAACAAAAATAAAGGACCATTTTTGAAGTGATAGGAAAAGCACAGCTAGAAAAAGGGTGATGATGATAGGGTTGAAGGTAAAGCTATAGAAATGTTCCTTGTGAACGGGTATTTAATGGGCAAGGAGTGACTAGAATGTATGCATTTTAACAGTGATATTGATTGCATGACAGTCCTATGAACTCAAGCATCAATTTAAGCAGACAACTCAGTGGGAAAGAGTATATCTTAGAGATGTAAAGGCAGAACAGCTAGATAAATATATTAATATATATTCTTACATATTCTTATATAAACATATTCCTGAAGGCAAGTCTGAGAGACATACAGGTTAAAGCAGAGGCTCAGATGTCAAGGTATTACTGGTCAGGATGGGTAGAAGTAGAAGCACAGACAAATTTTCATGTAGTTATACAGAACTCAACTGTAAGCTTCACAGCCAAATAAAGATCTTACAGAGATGAGCTTACAGAGATGAGCTATAATATAAAGCTAATTTCATTATTTGTAGCATGATTTTGCAGGTATGAATAACTACATGCAATGAAAAGATGCAAAATTAAAAAGACAGCAGATTAGGTGATAAAGCCATGTGCAATCCTTGGAAAGGTCCTTAAGAATAGCTTAACAGGATGGGAGAATGGAGTCAGAAAAACACTGTTTTAAGAAGATTAAGTTAGTGCCAGTGGTAAATAGCAGAACAAGAAAACAGACCCTGATTTGGAAGAGGTTATTAAGTAGCTTAATAAGAGATGTTTTAGTAATATTTTTTAAGTATAACTGAGCCTATGGAAACAGGCAAAAGGGATCAATGAAGTTATCATAAGGAAGTTAAAGTTAAAAAGAAAACAATCAGGAGGTTTTTTCGCATGTGAAAGAAAAACAGTAATTAAGCTATAAAGAACAGAATCTCTGGATGAGGACAGAGACATCAGAAAAAATAATGATTGGTAAAGAATGCATTTGAGGCATTTCTGAATTCATTACATCAGGAAAAGAAAGATCTTTGCAGGGAGAATGGGAGTGGCCATACAATATTTTGTTTTCATTTATGTTTGGGAAGCAATGAGCAGGACTACAGAATTTGAAAAAAATTAAGTTTGTATAGAAGGCCTACATGAACTCAAAGTGTTGTGATATTATTTGACAATATCAAACAAGAAAATAAATTTTGCATGAAAAAACAGCTGTGAAAAAATTCAAAACCAGAATTTTCTAATCAACTTATATCATTTTAATAATGATGTAGTAATGTCCACTTATAAAACTTCATCAGTTTAATGCCAGTCCTTAAATTATTCACGTAAAGTTTCTTGTGCAAACATCTTCAGGGCCTCAAAGCACTCTAATTATTGTAGGCTGATACAAAATGAAGTTGTAACAGTGAATAAGGAATTGTTTAATGGAAGTAATTGTGCAGCTTTTCTGTTGTGAATTGACTGACTGTAACTGATCATAACAATGACCATTTTATAATCTACATTAAAATTATAAATAGTACGTACCTAATCTGAGGTTGTCTTTCAGAAGTACCAAGGCTTTGTTGTATGATACCTGAAACAAATGCATAAATATTGTCTCTGCATTAAAAAATAATTATAGATATCCATGATCATTCTTTCTATTTCTCAGATATGGTTTGAAAATAACTTTTAAAAATCAGTGGTAGACAAACTAAATTCACATTTGCTGTTTGACATGCCAAAAATGTGCTTGCGTTTTACTTCCAACCCTGCAGAATTCACAGATATTCACCAAAACAAAGAACACATGTAGGCTGCAGGACCACAGATGTGTCTGGGTTAGCATTAAGTACTTAACTCAGTTACTGCTATCACTATAGTTGCAACAGCATCTCTAGTCTGTGTAAGAAGATAAAATATTTACCCACTTTCTAGGAGGACCTTGGATGGGTTGTCTAAAGCTTGTTTTACCAGAGTTTTATTGCCACCAGTCTATTAGTTAACTACTTAAACTTACTGCTTTAGTAATTATACTGATTTTAAGACAAGAGTATGATGAAGTATTGGTCAAACATCCAATCAGCAATAAAACTGAACCTGAACATATATGTCATGCATTGCATACTGCCTAAAAACATGAAAAAGGTGAGTAATACTTGGTGAAATTGATTATTTATGCACCTGGAAAGTATTGTCTTAAAGCAAGCATTTATCTTAAGCTACCATCTTAAGCTTGAGACTTTAAACATTGCTACAAAACCATTTATTTGACACTAATTCTGACATGAGGTCACTCTATCCTACACGGTATCTCACTTTGAAAGAGGAGGAATAAATATATGCTTAAATCAAAAGATATTTCATCTGGCCAAAGGTCTAACTAGAAAATGAGGAAATTTATTTTTCCCATACAATCAATAATTTTCAATACAAATCCCCACCTTCTTGACTACAAAAGATGTTCTCCCACACTAGTAATATCACAAGCATTCCTATAAAACAAGAATAGTGCCACCTAGTCAATCAAATAGTAGCTTAGAAGAAAAACGATAACAAACTTCTTACACTATTTTACTTACTGTTGGTATTACTACTACACTCATTAGTTCTAGAACCATAGTAGCTTTCAGAGAGCAAATATTTCTGAGAATCTTAAATCTTCTTGTGTTCAACCACATTTTCAGCTGTGAACTGAAATATAGTTCCTCTATTTTTCCTATTTATCTAAGATGCTCTGCCTTGAATGCAAAAAAAAATCTTGCAGAAGACTGGCTTCTGTCACACGGAATTCACTTAAAACCATCCCTGAATTATTTACCTTTTATTTAAGTCAAACTTGACTTAACAAGACACACAGATTGAAAGAAAGAAAGAAAAGAAACGTTATTTTATTCCTTGCTCATGTTTGCAAAACAGCCATTGAAACTCTGTAGCAGTTAGACCAAAAGTAGATTTTGTGAGAGTACTTGTTATACACAATAGCAAACAATGTAGTTCCTTCTAGATGTAAAAATATTTCAACTAACTTTGACACAATAGATAGGAAAATGCAGCATCTATCATCTAGAAAGCAAACAAGGACTTTCAGAAGAAAAAGCTGACAGTTCCTATTGATGGAATACATAATTTACCTGTGTTCAATGCAGAAACCATAATACAAATACAAAACTAAAATCTCCTACTGAACCTGAATAACATTGCTTGAGATAAGCATTTTGAATTACACTCAAAAGGCATTTTGCCTTTAATATAATATAATATAATATAATATAATGTAATGTAATGTAATGTAATGTAATGTAATGTAATGTAATGTAATGTAATGTAAGAATATAATATATTTGGGAAATATATGTAGGAGAAAAACCGTAATGGAAGGCACATGGCTAGAATGCTGTTTGAACACATCTTTTTCCTGAAATTTTTAAAACAACTCCCTTTTTTCCAGTATTCATATACTAAATTGGATCTGAAATACTATACTGCTTGTTTCAAATAAATGGTCTCTACCAGTAAAAAACTCATATCTAAATTCTCTTGATCAGTTACTTGACTCATAACATTTGACTTGCAAATCTGCCAGCTTATATTTACAAGCACGTGGTATTTCACACCAAAGAGACTGTCTCACCACTCACTGTACATGGCAGAGATGTAGTATTTTCTGATTCTGAAAGTTGAGAAAATACATATTAAAATTTACCAAAGAAAACTAGAAATCATGTTGCAGAACAACACTAAACACCAGTCAACACCCCTCAGCTCCCTTACTATCACTTATTATGCTAGAACCCCACTGAGCAGCTACATCAGGGAGATAAGTCTCTTCATATTAGATACTATGAAAACACATTCATGTGTTCATCTTGTCCTTCATTAACAAAGGATAAGGAGATTGAGACATCTAAAAGCCATTACAACACATATTCACATGTGTATATGTGCACCCATCAAAACTATAGACTTTGGTTACAATCCTTAGTCTTTTGTGTGAGTTATACTAATTAGACTAAGCCAGACAGAAAGAAAAAACAGATGTGTAGGAAACTTAACTAGCATAAGTCACAGAGCACATGCTAAATTCTGATGTTCAGCTCAGTGTATTAACCAGATCATATTTCTTTTTACCATGGTTACTCCTTTATTATGGGTGGGAAGAGTAAGGCAACTTATGTTTTTTTCAAATGCTTAACAAGAGGAGATTTCTCAGTTGATTATCTCCTGTAAAATGAAACATAAACCTTCTGCGTCTTTCCTGTTTTGTGCTCATCGTTGCTAGGATGCAGAAGACACACAAGAACCAAAGATTTTGATTAACATAAGCTTTTTTTTCTGAATAGCTCTATGAAGATCCCTTAAGGACATTTTAAAAAAATCAGATGAGTCACCAAGAATTTTTCTGAGTGGTACTTCAGCGTTTAGTCAATTATATAATAAAAGTAACCTCATAGCATTCATTGACATCAGAGCAAATAATCAAGACATGTTCCACGATAGTTCAGTGTTTTCTCTTGCAGGCATCTTATCATATAATTTCGAGAAAAGACCTTACAACATGATATGAGTTGAAAAAACTTGGAAAGATAGAAACTTTCTATCTTTAGAAAGAAAGTTTCTAGATAGAAGCTTTCGCTGTGGAAAAAAAAAAAAAACCCTCTGAAAATACTTTTAAGTGTAATCATTGATAGGAGAATTAAATCAAGATTTCATCTTCCTAAATGACCAGTCTTAATTAAAGAAGCAGTAACTTCTGAAATCATGAAATCCACCACAAACTATAACTGTTCTGAAAAATAAAAAAAGGTCTGTGATCAGAGAACTTACAAGGTAGCTGCCTCTTAAATGCAGATTATAAATGAAACTAGAGCTCCAGACAGCAGTTGACATCACTGAGTAGGTATTTATTTCCCAAGAAGTTTGTTGTTGCACTCAAAAACAAAGTCAGAGCTAAAGGATGGCTACTTCAGCGCCCCATCATTTGCTATGTACAACATGTAGAATTCTAATACTGACAGTATCCTAGTCTTGGAAGTCTCCAATCACTGAACTGCATTCTTTTGATTGCTTTGAGCATTATCTGCACAAGTCTCAAGTTCTAGTACTGTATAAATTGTTTTTCAGAATACTCAAAGAAATCCAAAGGAGAGTCTTAGAAAGCTACTCCACTAGAATATTGTGGCAGATCTGTGGTCTCTTGCATAAGAATTCTGAATACTATTTGAGTACAGAAATTTTGTCAGGAAAAAGGAGTCGTGAATCTCAACTTCTTTGATTACTGGTCACAAGACAGTTAAGATGAAGCATTCCTCCGAATACTAGACACACAAACGATACGAGGTAACAGAAACACTCTTGAGCAAGATACTGAACAATGACAGGACTGTGTGTTTTCTGAGCCTCATGAAAAGCTAGGAAGTGAGCAATTCTCAAGTTGATCTGTTGTATGCTTATCTTTTTATTCTGAGGAAGGTCTGAGGACTGGCATATACACAAACTTGGGAAGTAGGATTTTTTAATAGCATATTTTGCAGACAACTAGTCTTCCTGTGCCTTTCAGAAGAATTATTTACACTGTCCTCACTGCAGTGCAAGTGAACATGATTCAAGGAAAGAAAATTTTTTTTTCCAAAGGGTCTTCCCAGAAATAAACACTTAAATTCTCTCTAACTCAACTGACATTCTAGCTTTAGTGAACTACTATTCATTAAAATATATCACATATTTTCTTGCTGGTTGCTTTTACCAGTAGAATCGAAGTACAATTACACTGTAAATAAAAGCAAATAAAGAAAAAGAATTATGGCTAAGTTAAGATGCAGTTGGGAAACTTCTTAATTTTAAAATAAGAAAAATTTACACAAAGAATGAGCTGCTACCATCACTATTGCTTTTTGACTTAATGTCTTTATCCTCTGTTCCTTTATCTTTTCAAATTATAGGGATTTCAGGGAGGGGGAAGAAATACCTCTTCCACTACTGCCTCTATGCAGCTGAAGTGTACATAATCTGCTTCTGTAGAATTAATCATGTCAAGAGCATGAATATGTTATTCAGATTCTATACAGACTGCATCTGACAATTTTAGGAATTGCTAAAGAAAACGATCTTGTGGAACTGTTTTCTAAACTAAGAAAAAAAGTCTTTTTTCCAAAAGCAAAATTAAAAAGCAGAGGGTATTAAGTTATTAAAAAACAGTTACAATTTTTGGACTATAAAAAAAGTAAACGATCTCCATATTGGCTTCTGTACCACTGAACAAAACAGCATAGCACATCTTTTTTAAAATAGCACCTCGTTCTGAACTAGAGGGATATTTTTCAACATTTACTGATTATGATCACAATCAATACACCTGTAATTTAAACTCATATTTTCCTGTTAGCACTTTCTGAGTTAGTTAGATAAAGTTGGTCACATTCTCCCCTATAATGTTGATATAACTGACAAAACTATGTCTGATAATTAATACATTGTTAGCCAACTACTAGCAATCAATGGAGCATAACCCAAGCTGTACTGGAATCTATAATAATTTTGTTAATGTTATCTTTTCTTTTTCCATGAAAAGAAGAAAAATTTGCCAGCATTTATTGCAATTGATCCATACTGCTAAATTCATTATATTAAACAGAACTACAGGTGATCTAAGATAGTATGACTGCATTACAATTCTTTTTTTGAAAAAGCAATCCTGAACTACACCAGTTAAATTGTATATGCTTGGAAGAAAACATGCAACAACTAGAAATGCTGACTTCAGTTAATAGGAATAAGAGGAGCTGCTTACATCTTTTCATTCAAAATCTTTCATTAGATCAGAGGAAATCTGGCAAGAAAACAACAAACATCTGACAATCTTTTAGTGTCCAGATCTTAACAGAGAAAAATGAACAACAAGGAAATCATTATTGCTAAAACTTAGGGTGTGGCAAGTTATAAACTACATAGAGATTTCCAGTATCTCTGTACAATTATGAGCTAGCCCACAAAGAATTCAGTAGGCATCACGCAATGTGTTATTCTTCCAAATAAATGCAAAACCAGAACAATTCAGCTGTAGGCTGCTGTTCCTGCAGATTCCATCTGTGCAACCTTCTCTCAGTGTCACACTATGCCTCTCTCTATCTGATAATCTTATGCTGTTACAGTCTTAGCACAGTAGAGCAACAAAAAAATTCACTAAGAAAAATTTGGTAATTAACTCTGGGCTGAGTAGCCATGTAGTTTGTAGAATGTTAGGCTATCTGGTTAAAATTATAAAATGATGCTAATGGATTTTAAGTAGAATTCACTCATATGCCCTGCAGTAATAGCTACACAGTTGGATTCATAGCAGTCGTATTTCTTCAGTACCTGGGTCAAAATCTGAAAGAGATCCAGCTAGTAAATGGCACTACAATCAGATTAAGTTATTTTATGGTTTTGAAGCCTGGAATAGTGTACCAGTTAAATTTGTTAATCCCTTCACACATAAGAGGACATTTTAAAGGATCCACAGATTTCCTGTCAGGACTTCATGGCATTAATGGAATTCTTTGATTATATTTAGTTCTAATATCATTGTTTTTCTAGTATAAAATGTTCTTTAATTTCCACTAACATAATCAGAATCCTACCTCATTTAATAATTAGATCATGGATTTAATAATTAGATCAGATTTTAGCAGACAGCCAACAGTAACTACTGATGTCACTTTTTTTTTCATATTTTGAGTATAGTCCAAAATCTATTACTTAACACTTGACATAGCTGACTCCTAACTTTTTATCCTAAATAAATTAAAGGCAGAATGAATGCCGTGTTTTGTCACATAACTCCTTCTTAATTCAAATCTAAACATTAAGCATTCCTGCAATAGTATTCAATGAACAGCTAAATCTTGCCTCTATCAACTTTTTTTTTTTTTTTTTTTTTTTTTTACATTACTGGGCACCCCATTTCTTCATATGCATAGAATTATTGTTACTGAGACAAAAGTTTTCACACTGTCCATCTTGTTTATTATCCACTCCAATTATTTTATGCTTCAAACCTAAAAACAAATTCATTGTCAAGTTGTTCAATAATATTCCAGGTTTCATAGCCATTATTTGAAAATACAGGTATGAGCTACATAAAGAAAATCTGATGTAAAATGAATTATATTGGAAATGCATGCTGTATAGGTATAATTGTTTTAGTTTTCTTTTACTTAGGACCCATAACAGATGGTGACCTTGCAATGAATCATAAAATAACCTAACATTTTAGAATAAGTGACTATTTTGCTATTAGAAAGCATTGGACCCTCTCATTCTTAAAGTTCCTTACCAAAAGCAGACTCTTTCAAATGACTTGAACTGGAACTACTTGAGTTGTCCAATACATCGAGCTCATCATCTAATTCTGAGAACAAATCTGCAAATAAAAATCAAAGCAAAGTGTTTTTAATCCACTTCTGAGCAGCATAATGATATTTCTGATGCTTTTTTTTTTTTGCTAACAACTACCTTTCTCAGAGTTCTCTAAACAGCTGTTGTCCTCTGTCAGGATTTCTTCATATGTTCTCTTTTCATCTTTTCTACATGTAGAATGACAATTCCCTGCCAGGATGCCAAGGTTTTCTGAAAAATCACTTTTGCAACTCGCTGTTCCAGTGGTGCTTCCTTGAAGTCTCAACTTGTCATAATGGTTCTGACAGCAAAGAGCAAAAAGGAAATGTTAGACACTGTTCTTATATAGCACCCACCAGAAAACCTGCAAATGGAAGAGTCATGAGTGTATCTACACACATAGGAATTCACTTTTAGTTCCTACTTAGATGGTGTCATGTTCAGTCACTAAGCTTAAATTTGGAGCAAACCTTTCAAACTCTTAATCTAAACAAATTATTTTGAGCCTTCACATAAAAGGCAGCTCTGTTCCTAATGACGAAAAATTAAAAATTGAAACAAATGCCAGGACACAAAGAAATTCTGAACATTGCAAAACATATAAGATAAAGATAGTAGGATCTCATATACAACCTATGGGAAATTAGCTTTATCTTATCTTAAATAATAAGAAGCAGCTGAGTTCTGGACAACACAAAACCTGCGCAACAGTCAAGCTGGTAATAAAATATGAAGTGAACTTGATGTGATGGGATATGATGTCATGACAGAGAGATTCCACAAGGCTGAAATGACCAAAGGCTGATTGGCATTACCAAAGCACAGCTAAGAAGATCAAAATATGGAATACGTGTAGGTCACTCCAAAATAATGTCTACTATTTATTTCCATGGAAACCACAAGAAGATGTACAACATTATTTGATAGAGCAAATTCTCAGCTACAAAATACTATTTTTAACACAGTCACTACCATTAGCTGTGCATTTTGACCAGCACTGAGCAAGATCCTGCATGCTGTGCTCATGAAAACCTGCACCAGTGGAGGTGAATGTCAATGTCACTGTCAGTATTGAAATGCATCACCCATCATCTCACTGCTCTCACATCCACTGTTTGGTCTCCAGAAACATTCAGCAAGCATCAGTGGATGTCAGTGGGTGCAATTGTTTCTGCGTGGAGAAATTCAATTCTACCCTTCTGTTTCATCTGCACTTCCATGTCAGACACCAGTTTGTCAAACTGCCCCCCTGCTGCCATCTGTCACACGGCATCAAATGTTACAGAATATTGGTGGGAAGCCTCAACCTCTACTGCTGTACACCAACACGTGGCTCTGATATCACGGGCCAACATAATAAAACAGGAGGCATTACTTTCAGAGCTGCTCTGCCTGTCACATTTAAGTATTAAGTCTCATCTGTAGCAAAGGGTTCTTTAATGAATATAAAATTCTATTTCTGCTTTCTTTGTTTATAGCTTTTCTGAAAAGAATAGAGATAGTTGATCCTTGTTATTTCTCCTATTTAGATGCAACAAATTTTGAAAGCAGATTGCTTTTATGATCTCTCTTTATATCATTTCAAGTCTTCTCATATTATTGCTGCTGTGTATCAGTAAATCATATTTCTTTTAGTATTACCAGCACAATGTGTGATAAAGAACAAGAGATAAATTATGCAAATCTATCAGGCATGAATCCATGGCAGGGGAGTTGAAACTAGATGATCTTTGAGGTTTTTTTCAACCCAGGCCATTCTGTGATTCTATTATTCTATATCCTGAAATTACCTTAATATTAAAGATAGTCATTTGTTTAACCTGATAGATTTGCATAATTTATCAGTTTATCACACTTTGTGCAGGCAATACTAAAAGAAGCATATAATACATTTCTAAATAAGTCTGTTCTTACTAGGTGTGTCAATAGCAATTTGGACTGTAAGGCAATTTTCTTCCCCAGTCAGTCCAATGAAGAATTTCTACCTTACTGGAACACTGCAGAAGGCACATCCTGAAAACCATTGTTTCTTATCTGCATCCAAGCCAGAGCTCATAAACATATATATAACAGAAAAGTTGTACTGAACTTGTTAAGTACTTCAAGTGTTTATTAAACTGAAAATGTGTAGTCAGCAAAAATTTTCAGGATCTCTTTTGACCTAGGTCCAAAACTGTTGAGCACAGACACTGAATTCCAATGACAATCTAGATGGAATGGTGATTAAATGTGCATACAAGCATATAATGTCATATTACAGCATACATACCATATACAAAGTTGCATCAGGGCAAGTGAACAGATTTTGAAGACAAATTTGACATAAGGGAGAAATTGGGGGAAAAAAAAACTAATTTTAAAGATGAAAAATGCAAAGATCTATACAGCGAGAAACAGCTGTGCACAGGCTTGGAAAAGTACCATCCAGACAGCATCTCTACATGAAAAGATATGGGGATTTTGATGGATAAGATATAAAGCATAAATCAGCCATACCATGCTGTTATGAAAAACGATCCCACTGTGATACGTGAAGAGGAGAATAATCTCTAAGAACCATATAATCTTTCTACTCAGTATCAATAAGGTTCTCAGTAGGAGTAACTGAGTTCAGTTTTGACTAAACTTAAAAAAAAAAAAAAAAAACATTGAGAGATATCAAAGGAGAGACATGAGGATAATCAAAGGTCTTAGAAGACACAAATTAGAAAGTCAGACTGATGGAATTTGATTATTTAGCCCAAAGAAAAGAAATGACAGAGGAGACATATTTCCACTGTTGAGAGAAAGTATGCAGTTTAAGCTGTAACAAGTGCAATTTAAGTTAGATTTTAAGATCACCCAACACAAAGGAAGGACTTAACCATCTGAAATCCTGCAAAGAGAAGTGAGCACACACTATGTAATAGATTTGAAAGTGCTCTGTAAATCTAATTTTCTGTGGACTTGCTGAACTTACTGCTCTCAGAACAACTGTATGACAGTTAAGAGTGGATCTGGAAATTTCAGGATCATACATCCCATATATGCACATGCTTATGTCCATCTAATATCTCCCGGAAACAAGACAAAGATAGCAAGTGTCAAGCATACTATGTGAGACTAACATTTTCTTGAAGAAAAAAAAAAAAAAAGACACAAACTGCAGATACAACATATAGCACAATGTAGATGTGCAATGGACATGCCCAGGATTTCCAATTACTTCAGGACAGTTCATAGTTTTCTACACATTATCTTTGGATGGCATAAAAGATTGAGAGGGATATACAATCACTGACAGTAAAGGCAGTTACTATTCATTCATTCTGTTTCCAAACTGTTCCCTAACCCAGGATAGTCTCCTTGGCATGACAGAGATTTTCTATCACTAAACATGTTTATTACTGAAGGGTGAAACACCTGTCAAGAGTGACAGGTAGCTCTAAGGCTTGCAGACTTGTCTCAAATTCCATGATTCTATTGAAGTACTTTGGCATATACATTGAAGCTGAATTAAACATATAATATGTTCATCCTTAACGGGATTGTCCTGAAAAGCAATAACTATTCCTACTTCCAATACCTACTACATAAATTCCAAAACAGAAAGCTGTCAGAACAAAACCAATGGAGTGAAAGGTGGATGAAAAAAAGACTTGTAGATTGCTAAGCTTCCATGACATCCCTGTGACTTCACCCATGATTGGGCCATATTGCTGCAACATCAATAACATGTAACATTCTAGGTGATTTAAAGTCAATCCCTCTCTTTGCTGCAACCAATACAAAAACAGTCGCTATGTTCATGCACAGTTGTTTTAAGAAAAATTAAAATAAAAAGTATGCGTTTTCATAGGAACACCAAAGTTGGAAAAGACCTCCAAGATCATCCAGTCCAACCATCCACCCACCACCAAAGCTTCTCCACTAAATGATGTCCCTTAGTATAACATCTAAAAGTTTCTTGAACACCCCCAGGGACAGTGACTCAATCACCTCCCTGGGCAGTCTGTTCCAGCACCTGATCAGTCTTTTGGAGTAAAAAATTTTCCTAAAATCCAACCTGAATCTCCTTCGGTGCATCTTGAGGCCATTCCCTCTCATCCTATCTCCAGTTTTGCAGGATAAGAGGCCAATCTCCACCTCGCTACAACCTCGTTTCAGGACGCATTGATTGACTGAACAAATAAAATATACATCCAGAGAAAAAGGAGACTAAAATGAACATAGGTCCATTTTTTTCTTTCTGTATCTACACTGACAAGAAAAATAGATGAATTCAAACTGAACTGCTAATTAAGTACTACTTTGTAATGCAGGTGGTGATGCTTAGAAACTACCAACATTATTATTAGCAGGGTCAAACTGCCAACAGTGTAGAACTGAACTTGGCTGTGGAGGAAAATGACTAGACGAAAACGGCTGAATCATTTTGATCTTCTTTGCCTTTCAAATAGCTGTGAGCCTGTCCTCTTGTTTTTAAAGTTGGATAGATTGATTACTGTTTTTCTTATCACGAGAGTTGCTAGTAGCTGCAGAGTGGTTACAAATGTATGTATTTGTAAACTATGAGTCTTAACTCTTCCTCTTTGGCCACACATCACTGTGAGTGAAGAAATAGATTGGGATAAAGAGAATTGATTCCTATGGATATAGAAAAATGGGAGCAGTAACATGTTCTGCATTTAGAGGTATTCATACAAAATACATCACAGTTATTTTCATTGTGGTCTTTCTGATATAAGTGAAATACAAAGAAGTCTCAACTTATTTGTAGACTTTAGATATGTTCTTTGTGTTTCTAAACCAGTCTTGAAAAGACATAATACAATATTCTAATTATCCACATTTGGATTATGAAGGTAGATTACTCATGCCACGAATGACAGAAAACTGCCTCAGCCATTATCAGCTCTTTGATTTAAATGTTGTCTTGCTGTATTGCTTCTTCCATTATTTCCAGACAATAAACAGACAAACAGTTTCTTGCAAGAGAATAGGTCAGGTTTCTTAGTATAACCTGGAATCAAGCTGCTGCAAGTAGAATAATCAAAGTATGTTTCCAGGCAGTGACATCTTAGTCTACCAGAAATATAAAACCATGATATCTGCAAATCTAGGTCTGAAAGGACTGGTGCTTACCTGAAGACAAAAATTCTATCTAGAGGTAAGATTACTCATCTTAGGTCTCTATGCCATGCTGTCTAGCACACTGGATTAGGGAAGACCTATCAGTTAAAGTGTGAAACCAGGAAAATTAATATAGCAAACTTTTATGTTGCTAATGAGCATTCTTATGCATTTGAACCTTAGGACAAAGCACACAACTAATGGTAATCCAAATGGACCAGCTTAGATCAAACACAGTTAATGAGTGATTCCCTGCACTGGATATGGATGTACATAGATTGCACTATGTTCAAAACCCCAAAATTGTACATACTTATTCACTGTTAGTATCCCATTGGTGCATAATGCAGAACTTATCTGCATTATATGAATTTGTATCTATGGATTGTAAAATAAAAACTCTATTCAAGTGACATTACTAATACAAGTAGAAGTCAGCTTTACTTCCCAAACAAAGAAATATTACAAAATCCTGCTATAGAGAAAAAATGTGACAGACCTTGTATGCCAGATGCACAAACCAGAACTACAGAAATGGAGAAAAGGAAGCTACTCCCTAAAAATATGTTAAGAATGGGCAGACTTGATAGACTACCTGGCTGCTGAGAGTAGCAGAAGGAATAAGTGGTATTTATTTTCTTATATATATTATAGTTTACAAGTTCCTATCACAAAATTTACTGGGTTTTTATTCTCAAAAAATGCTATCAAAATCATATTTTGTTACTCTTCTTTGTCTTCAAAAGAAAATATAAAAAATATACTTTTATTATTAGTTATTGGGGTTTAGATTTGGCTTGGATGTCAGAAAGCTCAACTTTACCACTAGTCTATTTGACCACCTTGCACAAACTACCTTTTTCCTCTCCACATTTTCCTACCCAGGGTACAAAAATATAATATTGACTACCTTGAAATGAAAGGTACTATCCAAGAGACAATTACTACTATTACAACTACTGTATTAGGTCCTCCGTACCCTGTGTTATGTCAGCAAATTTCCACCTTTCAGAACAGAAAACACTAATTATATTAAACACTCTTTATCCTTACAACTGCACCCATTCACATAAACAACAATGCCTATGGAAGACAATGAAAAATAAAAATATATAAGTGAAAGCTGATAATTATTGTTTATTTTTAGGATTATTTTCAAGGATGGATATTATGCCATACTTGTCAGGTGAGGTATCTATGTTTCTTCAGCATCATCTGCTGATCAGTCTGTCACACTGCCTATTGATCAGTTTCTATACTGGACTTAAGCTATGTATGAAAGAGATTCTGCACTGGCTTTAAAATATATATGGTGTATATTCCATAAGCAAGGACACAGAGCATGCTCTTTATTTCAGAAACATTCACATCATAATACAACTGGGATGAAAAAGGAGGCAAAAAAGTACATTTTAGTAGAGAGAAAACAAAGTATAAGGTAGCTGGCTTCAACAAAGCATTGAACTACATGGCAGAAACACCGAATTCTCTGACACCCTGGAAAAATGACAAATTACCCAGCTATAGACTTGCTGGAGCCTTGACTAAGATTAATTAGGCTGTCCATACCTCACAGTTTTTATTTAAGGATCAGCTGCTTGAAATTCTTCCTAATATATGAAGTCAGGATATTGTCCTTTTTCATAAGTAAAAATTTTCAGAAATAATTATTCTTTTTATTAGAAATCCTCCAACTTCATAAAGTATCCCTTCAGTGCTGAAAGCAAGGAAACAACTTGGTTCCTTCTAATTCTAAGCCCTGTAACAGCCCTAAGATATTTGGAAAAATCCCATCCTGGTATATTCCATCTTATTTAAAACAAGAACTTACAGCCAGGTCTTCTACTTATCATTAGTGAGCCATATTCTCCCAGTTTCCATGGAGTTCTGGATCTTTCTCAGATTCTCCTGTTGTATCTGTTTCATTTATTATACAAAATAAAGTATCCACTGGAGTGGAAATAAAATTAATGCATTCCTGCCTTAAGAAGACTAGCCATTTTACCCTAGAATACAGAGGGACTTCTCTTTTTGTACATAGGTGTATCTTTTTTTCATTTATTTTGTTGTGTATTTATAAAAAGCATATATTTTATATATGTAAAGTTATTAGTCATATCATATCATACAAGTATCTGGATAAGCACTCTTCTCTAAAAGCCATTGGCAACATTTTATTGAAAACAAGGTATAATAAAAATAAAAATTTTGTACTTTTAATTACTATTTCTACAATCTCAATCAGACACATGAAGAAAACATATTCAAAAAAATCCATGAGTTTGGGACAAAGGTGTTCCTGAAAAACTTTTTACTACACAGAGGTTCTTCAATGCAAAGTACTGACCCATGATCAAAGAAGTCAGTATTTCTAACAGTGATACAGTAGTTGGACAGACAAGAGCAGTGGTGTAAATTCTAATTTTACTTTATAACTGCTCTTAACAATAATTATCACAGTGAGGTTTTACTACACAAATAAATTGTGCTTGTATTTTTTAAGTAAATTCTCGAGGATTACATAGAAGTTTGGTTCATCGTGTAAAATACTGATTTCCTTCATGAACAGCCTGTTCTTTCAAATAAAAGAACTTTAAGAGGTATATTCACGGAAGCGTATCAGACAGTAAGAAATTATTAACAAATACCAGCATCAATGCTCTTTAAATCTGTAATTTAAAATTATGTGTGTATTTTCCATTTTCTAGATTCCATTGTTTGAGAATCATACCCAAAATTATCAGTGTTCCATTGTAGTGGAATCTTATTCACAAGTGCAATTATTTATTAGTAATTAAATATTAGTAACTATTTATTAGTAATTAAATATTGTCAGATTCTATCAAAACTGGAAGCACCTCCATAATAATTTCCAATTCAATTTTTATTTTCCAATTGAAATGAAAGTGCTTTTTAAGGTACTGTTATTTTTACTGTCTGAGGATGCCCACAAAAAAAAAAACAGTGAATGAATATCTAGTTGAAAATAAATTAAAAATCCTGCATGGAAAATGTTTTAAGAGAATTGGTCTTTTCAGTTTGATTTTTTCTGCCTCCTTTTTTTTTTTTTTTTACCTTATTTTCTCAGAAATGACAAACAGTGATAAGCAAAATAAAGCTTAATGCACATACTTACTTGTGGTAAAATAGAAAGCTGATGTTGACAGGCTGCTGCATTTCGGCTAGCTTCTGTGAAGTACCTCTGGGTTCGTCTTCTCTCCCGATCCAGTTTCTTCTCCAACATGAGATGGGAGGTAGATAAAACATCCAAATATTTCATCATCACATCAGACAGCAGCGAGCTGACCTCCACTATGTCTGGACGTGTCTCTGCATCAGGGGTCAAGCACCTATAAAAAGAAACATTCTCTCATGAAAGCTAATTACTTCCTTCTAAAAACTTTGCTACCACTGCTCTCCTCCATTGGTAATTATCAAACCATGGCAGCCAGCACTTGGGACAAAACAGAAATTTAGCAAGGGAACAATTTTCATTTCTTACACTCTCAAAAATTAAAAATGGATGCACTTCAGAAAGGCATAAATAATTTTACACAAAAAGACTGAAGAGAGAACATCTGCTAGGTTATAAAAATGTTATTTCAAAAGTCTTCATAGTGAGAAATTTATCAAGCAGTATTTTCCCATTTGAGATTGCAACAAATACAGCAAGATAACAGAGATGCAGAAGTTGTCACAACAGATAGCACAGCAGGTGCACACAGTGGCCCAGAAGCTCTGCGCAACGCTATGGGGGACAGTCTGACACTGAGCAGCTTTGGTGTTGACGCACCAAAGGCCACAGTGGAAAGACTACCAAGACTGATCTGACCCTTGGGTCATTACCCCCCTTTCTGCTCATCCATACACACACCAATTTATCCCTAGGGCTAATTCTGAAAATACCAAATGTGACTTCAGAGCACTGGGATGGAAAAGAGAAGGACAGGGAGCTGAAGTGGTGATCTCCTCAATTCTTTCAATAGGGGAGAAAATGTCGAGTCAGGGAGGAAGCAGCCTGCCAGCCAACAGCTGGCTTGATATAGTCAAGAGCTTACGGGTAAGAATTAGAGGAACAGACAAATATTATTTTAAATACTTGCTATATCTACAACACAAAAGACAAGTATGTGACTGGGAACAGCTGGAATGGATTTATTGCATTCCAGTCATATTTGACTAGTGTGACTGCTCTCTATGATGAGATAGCTGCTCTGTAGACAATGGGAGAGCAGTATATGCTGTGAATACCTTTACTGCAGCAGGGCCTTTGACATGATATTCCACAGTATCCACAGGATTATAGGTTAGGTAAATAACTGCCTGAAATTATCGGTTCAAAGAGGTGTTATCAGAAGTGCAAAGTCCAGATGATGGCTGAAAGTAGCATTCTTCAGGGACTGGGTACTATTTAACATCTTTATTAATAACCTAGACAACTGAATGAATTCTCAAAAAGCTTATGAAAACTAAATTGCTGGGAGCAGTTGATACAGAGAGAGATAATAAACCTTGATCAGTGGGACCTGAGCAAGATACACAGAGCTGACTGCTATTTATTTAATGGGATACTATGGAAACTAAATAAATGAATTCTGAAAGGTGATAGGGAAAGAGGTAATATACACAATCTGCAAAACAGGAAAGTCCAACTAGATATAAGGATGTATTACTACTTCTAATCTGAAAGGTGAAAAAGAACTGGAAGAGGATCTAGGAAAGTTGTAGGATCTCCATCTTTCAAGACATTCAAAACATTGACTTACTATATCTAAAGTCTCCACTTTAAGACAATTGAATAAATGACTTCTTGGGGTCCCTTTCAACCTAAATTAATTTACAGTTCTATGCTTTATGTTTCAGGAACTCCAGATAGCTCTTTAGTAACCATAATAGGTCAGTTTTTAAATTCCCAGAATATTTTGTACTTAGAAGGCATGAAAGCTGATAGACACACTTCTTCATGTACTATTAACTGTTTTAAATCTAATAAATCCGGTGATCCGATGATTTTCTATTATTTGCATGCAGATTAATATTTACCAGTTAGCATACATTGACCCAACACTCCTTCTTAAAGAAAGTATCACAGAATGATTTTATTATTTCTAAAATATTATTTCTAAAAAAAGAACTCTTTTAAAGTAGCTTAATCCAATAAAATTGGATCTTAATAATGACCATAATATTGAATAATGACAATACTGAATGCAATTTTTCAGTTATAAAATGAAGTTTTCAGTGTTTTCAAATCCTTATAAATAACCTTTTTTAAAAAATTTATTCCTTTTATCTTTCACAGGGATTATGTTAGAGTTACTCAGAAATTAACTTCTTCATTTCTGACAACGTTTTCTCATCTGTACTATCAGTAAGAATTCCCCATTACTGAATTTCTCTCGTGTTCTCTATTCTATCTAAATATCTCACACAAATAAACTAAAAGTTAAGCATAGTATCTCATTTAAGGATTAATCCATAGTAAGAGAATAAACAATTTTTTTAAAAAAACTTTTCATGCTTCCCACTGCTTTTAAAAAAAGCTGGAAAATGTTTACATTACAGGAGAAAAATAATGTTAATTTTACATGCAGATACCTATTTAATCATCTATTTAAACCAGCTAATCTTAGTAAATAATTAATATATCAGCCAATCTCATAATTATATGGGACTTAGAGTAGACCTATTTAATACAGGTACCGTATCTATAATTATAAAGAGTAAATCAATAGCTGACCTTCAAAAAAAACTTTAAAAATTTCCACTATAGAGTTTCTTTTCATTTCCAAGAATGAAAAAGAGAAGATAGAGGGACCAGATTCTCACATACATGTAAGTCATTCATAAAGATGTGATAATATGACAGTGTAATACGTATCAAAACTGGTATGTATCTTGACTTGAAGGTATTTTCTGGAAACATTTGGGAATACTACTTTATTCTTAAATGGTGAGCAATTAATTAGTAAATCCAGTTATTCCAACTACAAATACTTGTAAATATTCAAAACATTTCATGACCTCTTAAATCTTAGTTCCATTCTACTAGTTCCTATCCTCTTTGTTGTTCTTCATCCTCAGGGTCCTTAAATAATAGAAACCTTTTTGTGTAGAAAATATAATACAAAAACGTTACATTCCTTGCACTATAAAGTGCTTTTGAGAAGTGGAATTCAACATCTGACTGAAAAAGAAAGCTATTAAAACTATTTTTGGAGTTTTTCTACAATGGGCAATGAAGGGAGCTAAATCTCTTAGTTCACCAACTCACTTTCTGTACTCACACAATGTGCCTCACACATTACATTAACACCAGGAACATGTAATCGTAGCTAAACGAAATACATGATGAGTGAGTGGAACAAATACAGGTTCTTCTTTTCCTCCACTGTGTTCTCTCTTCATTAACAGGATTAGAAGGTAGCAGGAAATGTATCAGTCACAAAACTATGAATGTTATCATACAGTGATCTACAACTGTACTTGAACATTACTTAAAATACTGTAATTCTATGAAATAAAAATAATCTGATGTACAGTGGATTAACTAGAGCACTGGCAGTATTAAACTTCAGCACTGAGTCCAGTCTGCTAAATGTGGTCCCCCAGGGGCCCATACTGAGACCAGTGCTCTTCAGCATCTTTGTCAATGACTGGATAGTGGGATTGAGTGCAGTCTCAGCAAGTTTGCTGGCAACGCTAAGGTGAATGGTGCTCTTGATATAAAAAAAAAAAAAAAAAAAAAAAAAGGAAAGGATGCCATCCAGAGGGACCCTAATAGGCTTGAAAAGTGAGCCCATGTGAACTGAATGAAATTAAACAAGTCGAACAGTGTGCACCTGCAGCTCAGAAGGCCAGCAGTATCCTGAGATCCCTCAATAGAAGGGTGGCCAGCAAGGCAAGGGAGCTGATTGTCCCCCTCTACTCTGTCCTTGTAAAGCCCCATCTGGAGTACTGTGTCCAGGTCTGGGGACCCAAGACAAGAAAGATGTGGAGCTGCTGGAGCTGGTCCAGAGGAAGGCCATGAAGGTGATCAGACAGTACTTGAAGGGAGTTTATAAACAGGAGGGAGACCTACTTTTCACACAGGCAGACCATGATAGGACAACGGGGACTAAACTTTAAAATAAAATAGGGGAGATTTAGGTTAGATGGTAGGAAGAAAGTCTTCACTCACAGGTTGGTGAGGCCCTAGCACAGGCTGTCCAAGAGGCTGTGGATGTCCCATACCTGAAGGTGTTCAAGGCCAGGATGCATGGGGTCCTGGGCAGCCTGTTTCAGTAGGTGTCAGCCCTGTCCATGGCAGGGGGGTTGGAACTGAATGATTTTAAGGTCTGTTCCAACCCAAGCCACTCTGTGATTCTCTGAAATGCACTGACTTACACTGTCATGCAGTTGTTAGATTCACCTATACTGAATATGTTACTAGCATACACCTTTAAATCAGCAGACATTTCATATTCAGAGACAAATACTAGCAGTTGCTGAAGTCAGCAAAAGTCAGCGTCACATAGTCACCGTTGGAAATATATAAAATATTTCCAGCAAGAGCAAAAGAAGATTTACCTCTTAATGGTAAATGACACTTTTTCAGAGTACAGTCCGTCCGGCACAGGTTCATACACAGCCCCTACTATCTGTAAAATAAAATATCTATAGTTAATCAAAAAGAAGTTCAATGTTTTATTTAGAAATCTCATACAATAAATACTTCTTGAAGCAATCTGATGGGCAGGCATTACATCATCAGCTTTAACTTGCAAAATAACTTAGAACACATCTTGTAATGCAAAATATCACTTCTAATCAGGTTTCCACATTAATGTACATAACCACTATAGTTCAAGAGGCTGCAATATCTGAATAAGGGAAACAGTTACAAAAAACAATTATTTATTTTTATTTTTAATCATATCCAAACGTCCACACAATTCTATAGGGTAATACACAACCCTATAGAAAATGCAGTATTATAGTAATAAGAATGTTTATATCTAAAGATCCTATCACATAATGCAACAATAAAAATACATCAGTCTGAGAAGTAACAATATACTTATATTTACAAGCAATTTTTGCAAGTAGAATGGAAAAACAGTAACTCATACTGTGAAGAATGCTCCTGCTCATTCACACATCAGAGCAGAGAGCATCTTGTGTTTCTACAGCCTTAAACATGAATTTTCATGGACCTTGTGATCACATGTAGAAATAATGGGTGGGTTGATCTGGCAAATCTGAATACCTTAGTTGCCAAGGAGAGCATATTGGTGCTGTAAAACGGTGGGTTCAGAGTTGCCATCTGATAAAGGATACATCCTGCAGCCCAGACATCAGCTTTCTCTCCATATGGCTCACTCTTTACAACTTCAGGGCTAAGTGAAAAGCAGTGCAAACCACAAGTATTTAATTAATAGTTTTCACCTAGCATTAGCCTCAATTAAAACATAAAAATAAAAAATCACTAGTCACTGCAATATATTTCCAGAGCATATGCAGCTAGTTTCAAAAGGTTGCATTTCCTTTACTAGTTGAATTCTTTAAGTGGAAGCACAAAATTATAATTGGAGTGAAGAGGCACTGTGCAAATTCAGTTACTGATGCAGTCTGGATATGGTGCTAGAAGGTGTGCTGCCAGTTTATACAAAACAAATGCAAAAAATAAATTTTAAAACAAATTAGAATGACATTCCTTAGATAAATTATTATGTGGAAATGATATTAAATGATCTTAATAGAACATAAATTCAGAATGGAGGTCACTGCGGGGAACTGACAGGTAGTCTGTCAGATCAGACATTTTTGATGAAATTCATCAAGCAAGATAAAGATTCCTATGTGAAAGTCATTAGGTACTTCCCTTTAATTTTGCTGCTGCTATTGTAAAACCATGGAGATGAATAAAGGGTATTGAACATAATGTTAAAACATAACACATTCTCTAGAGTTGGACTGTCATTACTCCTCACTGTGATACCATTTCTTCAGAGGGCCTTGAAGAACTTTCATTTTTATACATTACATGTCTATTAGAATAAGGATCGATGTGGCAATTTAACATACAGATGGTGATAGTATGGTTTTGCATAGCAGTCACCAAAAGAATATGTTGAAGACAAAAGGCAATAGAGACATACAAAGCAACCATGATCTGCCCAGCAGAATCTTGTATTCATGTACGAGGCAGAACCTAGTTTGACTGTCAGAGTATACACCACCATTGGGGTGGTGGCTAGCAAAAGCATATTTGTTGCCTCCATGATTTGGAAATTACAGAAAAAAATACAGTGCCGATAGGTTTATGATGGTTGTAGTTTTAACATGGTTCCACAAGAACACATAATTGATTGAAATTATTGAAAACATTTGGTCTGTTTGTTCATGCTGAAAGATTTCCCATTCAAAATACCTATCTTTTTTATTTTATTTTATTTTATTTTTAAACAAAAGGAGGACATCCAGAGGAATACTACCTGGTCATTTCTTCTAGAACGAAAGACTAATATTTAGCACATGAAGATGGCCAGCAACTTAATGTATATGCTGTCTCATGCCTAAGAAATAATGCAAATGACTGAAGTAAAACTTAAATAAAGTGACCACAAAAGTTATACAGAGGATCTAAAATCCTAAATGTATATGATACTATGCTTTCATAGTTAATGAATTCAATACTTTAGAATTTTAAACAGAAATTTTGAATATTATTTATCTACTTTTATGAGATGAAGTAGTGAAATTCCTCACCATGTTCTAAAGGCAAACCTCACCATCTGCTAGTGAGAAACGTGGGTGGGGTACAGTTCTTGTTGACTAGTAAAACAGTTTTGCAGTCAAGCTGCACCGTTCAGATCTGCACTATTGAGGGATGTCAAACAGAAAGATCCCAGTTCTGTTCCTGTGCTCTGCTGCCCACAAACAAGAGGATGGTAGGAATACATACGATTTATCTAATTCAGTTGTCAACTGTGTATAAACTCTTACGTCCGGTCAAGACCAGAAAGAATGAGTGGAACCAGACTGATATTTATTCCATAAAAATCCTTAAAAAAATCTGTCTTAGTAAAAAGTACAGAAAAATGATTTAAGGGAGTGACGTTGGTATGGTCTCTGGTTTACTTGTAAAAGCGGGCCTTTAATTCTTAGATTAAGAGATCTGGAATGGATGAAATAGAACAGTGGTACTAATTAAATTTCTAGCAAACAGATGTCCACATCATAAAATGCATTCAGTGTAAAAATAAAATACTTAAAGGGAGAAGCTCTGAGAGCTGATACAGAATTACCATTGCTTCAAGGGCTGATCATACTGCTGCAGAGCAGCAGTGCAAATGCTATGCTCTGTGATACCCACAGTCTCAGATATTAAGAGAGGCAGCAAATACTTTAAAAATTAGTCACTTTGTGACTTGCAATTAACTTATTCATAATAATCACTGCAGTTTTCTTCTAAGTTTACATACCACTGCTCATTTCCAAATTATACATTCATGCCAAGAAGCTTACTTCTGCTGCATTGTATCAAGGAGTGTCCTTCACTGAATGAATGTCCACAGCAAAAGCAAGGCTAAATTTTTCTAAATCAGAGACACAGAAATATATCCACAGAATAATTCTCTAAATTCTCAGTTTCCTTGAATAGACTGATTTATAATTGTTTCTCAGAAAGCTCACTCTCGCTCATCATATCCACATTTAATGACAAATAGTCTGCACAAACAGCCTTAAAATGAGTCTTGAACTTGATTATATCATCAATTGATCCAAAGAGTTATCTGTTTTATCTTCTGAATTATTTTTGCAGAATTAAAGACCTAATTCAGAAGCTAATTTAATATTGTCCCATATTTTTTTGATTAGGGTAAAAAGCAAATAAAAATTAAATCTTATCAAAATTGGTTCTATTTATAAAACAGTACCATTTCAGCAAATCATCTCTATATAGTCTCAGAGACATTTTTATAATCAAACTTTCATTTATAACTTTAGCCACCGATGCTATTTTGTCATGGTATTTACTATAGAATACTTTGAATGTCACAAACTGATTCTGGATTCTGCTACGCTAATACTATCGCATACCTACATGAAATATGACTGTTCTCATAGGATAAGCTCATGGTCACATTAGTTTTTACTGGATAGATATTCCAGTATGAAGAAAGAAGTCCTGAATTTAGAGAGGAAGGGAGGAAGAAACTGAAAGAATGACTTGTTCAAAACAGCATTAATTTTCTAGAGCTTCTAAAGCTTGTAAGAAATTTTTCGATACTATCAGGCTGACTTTACAAGAGACACAACTGGTGAAGATTTCCCATGCTGCAGAAAACTTCAGTAAGCCAATTTTGAATTGTTTTGGTACAGTGTTCACTGCTCAGTCTAACAGTGTTTCTGACAGATGTAAATACAGGTCGGTGTATTTGACTTTATAATACAAGGCATACTTCAAATAAGACATGATTTCTGCTAGACAGTTATGGATTAATTAAAGAGTGAATCCTCAAGACTAACCTCCCAGAAAGGTGATTATGATATCATAAAAAAGTTCAAAGAAATAAAAGCTAATACAACTGCAGAATATTTTAACAATGAATGATAATTATTGCTTTTATCGTAATAATTCTTTCAATTCATTCTGTACAATTTGATAGACATTTCTGCAGTTATTGGTGGTACTACAAATACTCATAGGCACCATATGTGGTTCAGGAAGCTACCCAAGCCAGGAGGCTAGAAGAGTACAAAATATGGTTACCCCATTCTTCCTTCCCTATGGAGATATACAAACTGGCACTAATGGAGATGGGACGAGAGGAGAGATGACAGACAAGTTTGCTTTACTTTTTTTTTTTTTTTTTGTCCCATATAATGAAAAAATATTTATAGCTTCTATTAGCTTCAAAAATTCAGATCTCTTTATTAAGATAGGATCTATAAAATAATACTTGCTTGTAGTGGATTGCCTTTTTAATTGTTCTTAGTTGCTGGTAGAACTCATTACAGCAAAATAGAAGAAGGAACTTAAATGTAAGTTCACATGAAAGATCCTGCTTTTTACTAAACTACTGCAGAATGCTTTGTGTGTATTTGGAGAGTAGTATGAAAAGAACATAGCTTCTCTATAATCAATCCTCTGAATCACAGAAGAGTAGGTGGTGAGGGAGAAAAGCTACTCATCCTAGCTTCCCAAGGGTGAAAAATGAAAAAGTTGCTCGTAATAATCTTTTCTCTGGATATTTTTCTGTAAGCTATAGGTCACACTTAGTACATATGGTGGACTCATAATTACAAGAATAGCAACAAAAGAAGGAACAGGAGCCATACAACTGACAATTCAAAAAAGAGGTTCTGTGAAAACCGTTAAAAGCTATTTCTTTTTCTCACCTACAAGAAGCAGCCTTTTGGAGGTAGTCTATTCTGTCTGTCCCTGGAGTGACAAAGCTGGAACAGCATTTTCAGTCTCTAGTTTTTTTTGCCTTCACAGTTCTCTATTTTGAAATTTAATGCCAAAAAATTCTATAGTAATTTCTTACATTATCTACCACCTTGTATTTATTTTTCTCATTAGTAATTCTTAAGTAATTATATTTGTAAACTATTACACACAGCTATTACATATATGTTTTTTCCTCATAAAACACACTCCTTCAAACATTCTAAGCCTCTTTGACTATAGCAAATTAATCATTTCCACCAATTTTTATAATGTATAGAGGCAGGGATGAAATTTGCTATCTTTGGTTTGCCATTTTACAGTGTAATAAATCCTCCTGCCACCAGACGGTGAATGTAATTTCAAAATGGGTGAAGTCAGCTAGGAGAGAGAACTTTCACATGTATTATTGCTCCCCTCAGTATAATCTCAATAGTTTAATTTTCTAGAGTAAGCACTACCTTTCTTTATTAAGAAAGCCAGATTATTAACTTTTAATTATTTCCAGTCAAGTAAGCTCTCTAATTTGGTCCATCAATGCATATTTACACGTTTGTGTTGACCTAGGAGTGGCATAGCTGATTTTATTTTTCCAGTTATTTTTTAACTTGAATAATTTCATTGCAGCAATTTGTATCACAGTCTTAAAAACAACTGAAGCTGACAGGCCCCGTTTTTTTGTTTTGTTTTGTTTTTGGTAGGGAGGGGACATAATAAACACAACTGCCAAGACATTACCATGATAGGAATAAAAATAGCTTCTACTGAAACAACTGTCAGGTTTAGCCTTAGTTCATAATGTTCAGTTGAAACTTTTTTTTTTAAATCCTTTTCTAAGTAAGAAAAGAATAGTTAATCAAAATATAACTAAACTAATAAAATATGTATAAACCTTCAGAATATTTCTTCTGAGCACAAAATCTATATAAAAATCTGCTGAAC